ATGCATATGTAATCACACAGGACTCACTCGGCTGCGTTCTCACAGCAGGAATAACGTGTGAGATGAAAGGCGTCTGTACGGAGCAGCTCAGGGCTTGCACCACTGTCGATGTTTGCTTTAGATTGCATTATTGATGTCCTGAGGCTACAGTACATTGGTGATGGTTGAGTACAGTAACGGGTACAGTATATTCAAGTACTGATTCATGTATTTATTTTTTGACATTTTAAAACATTTTTTGAATTGGTTCCTGCAGGTTGGTTATTTCTTTCACCTATAGTAATGCAAACAGTGGCAGCAGTAGAAGTATAGAGTCATTCTCACAGGCTAAAATCCAGTCTGTATTGGGTCTTCCCAGTGGGGATATGCTTCCCAAACATAGGTGAGGTGGCTCTCCATGGCTCCTCTTGGCATGGAGAGCTGTGGCTTTACTCCGAGCTCCCCCCACTCTCATGTTGTGATGACCAAAAGCATCATAGTAACATGTCTTTGTTTACGTATACATTTCACACAAACACATGCACCTCAATGAACTTAAAACAAGACAATGGAACAAGAAGAACCATGAAAATGCTATGAACAAGTGTTAGTTCTGTCTTAAATTCAGTAAACGTTAGGAGAGTATTCCATTCATCGGGAGGATAACGAGAGAAAGCTGATTCTCCTACTTTACTCTGGAACAGCTGAAAGGTTATACCCCAAGGATCTGAATCTGCACATACTGTATATTGCTGTACAGTACTATACAGAGCTGCCAGATTGTAAAGGTCTTCACAAATGTGGGTTTCAAGGTCAAGGTAAACTTTATTGTCCCTATAGGCAAATGTGTCCTGTGCTTTTGACTCGTCCTTCAGTGTCACTAGGGCCACGTGGCATGAGCAGTGCAGCCCCCCGGGGACTCAGGGCCTCAGTGTAGAGTCAGGACTACCCTCCCTGGAGAAAACCCCACCCAGACATTAGCAGAAACATGCATACCACACACAAAAAGTTCCAGGTCGACACGGGAATCAAACCCACAACCTTCTTGAACGTGAAGCCTGAGGGCTACACACATAACTTAGAATGAGCTGCATTTCTTTGTTAGTGACATTTCAAGGTCAGTTAAAATCGTATAAAAAGAATAATAGGGACATATTCACATCTCTAGTAGAAACTTGAAATCAACAAACTCATGTGTTAACAACATGTGTCAGTGATTTTTCTTCTCATGTATTCACAGAGACAAAGTACAATCAAAGTCAGTGAAACGTCTATCTAATTTTCTCATTACAGGCCTTGCTTTACTCATTACTTGGCTTCTCTTTTCCAAACTTCCTTGGTCAACAAGTTTTCTCTCTGTTGCTGACTGTTGATTTTTTTTTTCAATTCACACACTTTCAGTTATCTGGCACCTTCAGAATCACATAATGAGGAAAAAAAAAATATGTCATCTGTCAAAATGTGGCTTTTTATTCGTCATAGTAGTTTGTAATGGTCCTATTAGTTGCTGAAGTAGAATCTGAGGTAGTGGAGTTCTTAAGCAGTTTACGCAATCATTACATATACCTCTATATCCCACTTTATTTCCATTACATTTGAGAAAAAAACGAGAAGGCTCTTATGAAATCCTCAGTGGATTGTCCGTTCCGCTTGTGTTACCTCTTTCTGATGGATTTGTTTGATCAAAATAAAAAAATTAAGTAAAAAAGGTGCATGCTGCTACTACTCCTGTGCCTCTCAACAAGCAACAAGAAATAGAGTGCCTTGCGTAAAGTAATTCTTAAATTAAATAAGTGGCTACAAGATTATGGATTAGATTTTAGCTCGCCCAATGGGAAGTGGGCATTGAACACAAATGATTTGTTGTAGTGTCAAATTCTAAAAACAAAAAATGTAGGTGTGAACTCTAATTTCCACATGTCAAAACTTGGCTTGCCTTTTTTTTTCGTGTCACAGTAGTTTTTAAGAAGCTGGAGTGAAATGTGAAGCATTATAGTACTTCAGCGGTTTACATAAACTTAGACTTCATCTCACATCCTACTTTCTTTCCTTTGCATTTGAGACAACAATGAAAAGGCTGTCTGCTCCTACCGTATGAAACCCTTAATGGATTGTCCTTTCTGCTTTTGTAATCTCTGTTCAATGCACTTTTATGGAAACAAAAAAGAAAAAACTCTAGAGACTTGTGCTGCTACTACTTCTACACCTCTCCTTTCGCCTCTGGTTTTTTCAGCTTCCCCCTAGACCAGAATCAGTTCAAGCAAGAGCGAGTTTCAAAGCCACATTACCAATCAGTACGTGGAGTCTGCTGGGAGGAGACGGCCACGGGATAAGCTATGGACATGATTAGTGGCCAGGAAAGCGTGATTTATCTTAATCAAAGGGTCATATTAAAAGTCCAACAAGTGCTAATGAATATGAGTGATTCTCGAGGAGCGGGAGAGAACAAGAGGGAGGGGGTAGAGGGGAGAGATGGGATGTTTGGATGCAAGGAATATCACTGCACTACACTAAAATATGTGATTAGATGATTTGGAATTCAGTGTTGTCTTATATTGCTGTAATGTATGATTAGTATGTAATGTATTGTTTATTTGGTTGGGGCAGTACATGTTAATGAATACATCGCTCCAGATTGTAGCCTTGGGCTAATTTCTGTCGTCTCACAGTCTCACAGTCACAACCACACTCTCATTCACCCTGAACTATTGTGCATATTTTTAGTAGTAGGGGAAACCAGCGCACCCGGAGGAAACCTATGCAGACACAGGGAGAACATGTAAACTCCACTCAGAAAGGCCATGTTCCAACCCAGCAAGAATGTCCAGGGATTCGAACCTAGGACCTTAGCAAGAAGGTCCTGGGTTCGAATCCCAGTAGCAAGAGTGCTAGAGTCCACTCAGCCACCGTGCCACCCTTAGTTTTTAGATCTAGAAAGCTCAGTATATGGGTACTGTCAATTACTGTCAGTATATATTTTCTTTTTTATTGGTTTTCAAAATTGTTTTTGTATTGGTTGATGTTTCAATTATAATAATACTGTGAAACAAACATACAGCTGGTTGCCAACATTAGCCAAGTATCACCTTGCCAAACTGAGTCGCATCTACGTTCGGCACTGCGCAGACGTTTTGTTATTAAGAGTAGTTTAAAATCTAAGAGCCCATTTTCAGTCTCATACGGAGTACTGTCTCATAAAGAATAGCAGACAAAAACATAATCAATTCTTGCAGTAAGTACAATTACGGTACGGAATCTCAAATTGTAGAACGTCAAAATGTCCCCAGAAACATCCAAACGAAACACATGTACTTTGTGTGTGTGAGATGGAATAGAAGTGTAAAGAGCAAAAGCAGGAGAGAGGCAGTGGGCCTTTCTCGACTCTAAATGAACCTTTGAGTTCATATTAGCGTGCCTAATGGAGGACAAAGCAATGCTCTCAGTGACAAGCTTCTCTATTTACGCATAGGCAGCAGAAGTAATGGATGTTTCATCAAGAATATATGGCTGCTCTGTACAGAAAACACCTTTCTACCTCAGTCACTTCAATTCATTCAAGTCCCGAGCTATTGCTTTTCTTTAGGAACCACTTGTCATCCATATAAGAAAAAAACATAGGTGGTATGAGGTGACACGAGAAGTTATTGTGCAGAAAAGGAATGAATGGAAATAGTAGATGGTGTACATGTCTGTGAAATGGAATTATGATATTAAAAACCAGATGAGACTCTAGAAGTGTTTTGGTGGACCATAGCACCAACTAGCATTCAAAACTTAAGGCAAAAACAAACAATAGTGAACATGAAGCTGATGAGACAATTTGGTTGTGAATTTGGTTTTAAAAATGAATGGATGAAAGTGTTGATAAGAGGGCAAGCTGTACAACAAGTAATTCCCATATCACAGCAGCACATCGAGCCTCAGGTATCACCCCAACACATATAGAAGCTAGCATGGACGTTAACGCGACATGGACCCAAACCCACACAAGCTACACTCCAACAGGCGACTGGGAGAGTGCTGTCTATGTGTAAATGGAGAAGCTACCAGGGCAACTAAGTCCATGTCTGGAAAAATAACCAATGGCCTGCCTGCCTCACTGGATTGCACTTGACTGTAGACCACCTTGAGAAGATAAAGGCCCTCAAAATGTATTGTACTTCGAAAGAACCTATTGCTACACTTATAGCAAACACATGGCAAATCTTGCACTGGTCTGTTGGACCCGCCACAGTGGTCTAAGTGTTGAAGAGAAAAAAAAGGGTATTTTTAATCACTGTGGCATCTCAATTTGACCCAAGTATAGCTCAAGGGTTAAGCGTCTATATTCAATCATTATTAATCACTTTTCACTGTTCTCAGATCCATTATTTACATGGGATTTCATAATTACAAAGTCTTTAATTAATTAGATGTTTTTTAATAGTTTTTTTATGGAGTTCTGGCCCTAGTTAAATACAAAGATATGTACAATGTATTAATTCCATAAAAACACATTTACATTACATTGTCCCTAGACTACTAACAACAGTGTGATTCAATCCTTTGGAAATTTGTCTCCATAACTATTCATAGTTAGGAAATAAAATACATGTAGCTAGTCCCTTACTTGATTCGATCTCTAGTTTTCACGTGTAGAGTATCATTTTTTGCCTCTATCACATCTTTATATGCAGCTTTTTCAGACAGAAAATTAAAAAAATAGAGGACCACCCTCGCTCAGCCAATCATCTCTCACTCCAAAGTATTCAATAGTGAAGTGTGCCAAAAATAACATTGTCTAATAAGATAAAGACAGTATTTTGTAATCTCATTTGTTCAGAAGATTTTACTTTTACAAGACTTTCTGCAACATGGATCATTAGTGTTAACAATAATCAGCCTATATGTACGATATTCCTCTTCCAACCGAGGACAGCTCCAAACCCTTATTGGGTCCTTCGTTAGTGGCTTTGTGGCCTTGACATGTTGCATTGATGTCGCATTGACGTGCAGTGTGTCCTCTCGTCTCCTTCCTCCAGGGCACCCCGGCCAGCTTCGTCCGCTACACGGTGGACCACGACCTCTCTCCGTACAGCGGCAGTATCTTTGATGTGGAGGAGCTCACAGGGAGGATCGTCACCAAAGTCAACCTGAACGAGCAGCCCAGCGTCACCTTCAAGGTCAGTGGGACATTTTGGCTCGTGTTAGACTAAATCTTAAAAAGCCGTTTGTGTGTGTCTGTGTGTGTGGGCGTGTGTGTTTGAAGGGATGTGGGACCATAGATTGTTCATAAATGGAAACTTGCACAGTGAAGCCTAATGGGAAAGTGCTAATGGGCAAAGTTTGGTTCCAACTATCTTTGGCTGACTTTCACTTGCATAGAAAATTAAACTCCTCATATTTGTGTCACACTCACCACACCTGACAAAAAAGTGGTTTATTGCTAAGTGGTCTTTACTTTTTGGTCATGTCTATGTAAATCCAGATACATCCCCTAACTACTGACAACAAGAAAAAGAAAAAAAATGTGTCTCAACCTATTCTTCTTGCTTACGGAGCTGGAGGATTTTGCGAATGGTACATGTTTTTAGAATACAAACACGAGTCACAGAAAACAAAGCTATAGCACGAGTGACATAACTGAACAAAAAGGACATTCAAGTTTGGCGAACTGGAGAGGAGAGACTCAAGCTGCCTCGAACTGAGAAAGATTGGCAGGTTTTATGGCCGGGTCCCCGCAATTGGAGGACTTGCCTTACCGACCAGTGCCCAGACCTCTCAGCCAGATGCGATGAAGCGAGAACCAATACGCCAACTGGGTACAGGTCCACACGAGCGTATTGTACAGATAGTAAGAGGGGGAGACCACATACACACACACACACTCATCATTTGTCCAATTCATCTACCTCATGTGAAACCAACACCAGTGTTTTTTAACCAGGGGCCCGTGGCACCTGAGAAGATTAGACTTTTTGTACTGGATGACTTTGCATTGTTAATAAAGGCTGCAGAGTTTCATTTTTTTATCAGTTTAAGCTGCCATGTGTTTTTTTTGTTGCAATAACTAAGATGGGCCACAACATAAAAAGGTTTGGGGTACACTGACCTACACAACCAGTTGGCTAAAACTGGATAAAGCAGTGTTTTTATTTTTAATTATCCGTAACTATAGCGAAACGTTTTCAAAATCCTGTCATTTGCAAATTTCTGTGGACAACTGTTTACAAAATGCCTGTTTTGGCTGTGACTCCTTTTGTTGCAGTTCCTCTTCTCACCCTCGGCTGCGCATATCTCATAACTCCAGATAATTACCTGAGTGCCACGTATAATAATTGTGGTCAGTGTCCTCGCAGGGCTGTCTCACGCAGCAGTGAGCTGAATACAAGCTGCCTGCTCAAGTTGTGCTTTGTACTTTTCGGAAGTTGCTTTATTCATTTCAAATTACAAGGTTTATCACATCACTTTATGCCTTGGACTGAATGAGAGGGCAAGTAAATTGGAAATGTATTACAACCATATATAGGTTTTGGCACCCTCTCACTTCCATTATCATTGGCTAAAAGTAGTTGGTCATAACATTGATGGGTATGTTCTATTATTGAACCAAATGTTAAACTATAAAAGGAGCAAATTGGGACATGGCCAATCACCAATTCAATTGTGGAGCTGGGGAGAAAGAATGCATCCAAATGGCCACATTATTCCCAGCATGGGGCACTTTTTACTCAAGCTGAGTGGGTATCATAGAAATAAGGTTGTGGCTTCCATCTTATGTTAGCCCAGCCCTTTCTATGTTGAGTTTGCATGTTCTCACTGTGTCTCCAGTTTTTTCCCACTACAAATAAAATCCTCCAGCTCCTGTAGCTCCCCAAAGGCTTTAGAAATATTCAAAATGTTGAGTTTCTTATGTCTACAACTATTGTAAATATTCAAAATTGCGCACTGATAACTGGATAATAGATTAGTTATACTATAATTGATTATTAATTATAGTTAGATGTCCATAAAACAAACCAAGGCCTTTCACCATTCTACAATATTGACTCTTTTGAATGGCTTATATAAGTAGCTCTCTGCAATATTCAGTATTTCTGGTCCATTGTCCAACAGAACCATTGCTACTTTTGTTTATGAGTAAAAGCATGGACTTACTGATACGCCACTTGCTTGAGTCAAAGTTCCAGGCTTGCTTATCGCTAGAACACATACACCATGAGTGCTGGTAGAATCTTAATCTGTTCCAAGGACAACAATTCAACCCTGGCTTTCATCAGAACAATACCAAGCCCACTTCTATACGGCCCGAATCTGCAAGAGCATCTGTCGTAGGTGCAATTTTGCGTCTTAATGAGGTTTAGCTTCCTTCCACTCCTTTGTTTACAGACTCCCACCTGCGTCTTCCCCTTCACGTTGTCTCCTTTTTATCTGCCATACTTTTTACTACTTCTCCCTCCCTCCCCCTCTCCCTCCCTGACTTCAGTGTGAACACAGATCAATACATTCATACCGGGACTGTGCGAGAAGTGCGGGCGCGTTGCCACATCCCGCACTGTCACTCTCTCTCTTCATTCCGATGCCAAACACGGACAGACTTGGCAACCCCTGAAAGCAGTACAATACAGTCAACAGTGGGAGATTCTAATGTGCTGCTGCTTGTTCCTTTGTACTCTGCAGTTGTATGTGATCGCCTATGACGACGGGGAGCCGGTGAAGACCAACACGACTCTGGTGGAGATTACCGTCCTCCAGCCTTCCAGAATACCCATCTTCACCCAGGAGGAGTACACGTAAGTCGGTTGACACGCCGCGGAGACGACTTTGCTGTTCCATAAACTCAAACACACAAACGCCCAGAACAAGAAGCCGACTGTACTCTGAAATCCCTCTAGAACAGAGTAGCTAAAGGGGGTTGTTTATATTTAATGACTGGATAAGGATAGATTTAAAGCTTGAGTGCTGTACTTTTGATTGTCCCAGCAGATAAAGTCCAGTAAAGATGAAATGAGCAAATCACACCACACCATGCTGTCTCCATCTTTTTAGAAAACATGTTGCATACTTATAAGAGCCCTGTGAGTCATCGCTCTTTGTGCTGAGAGCTGATTGGCTGAGTGAGAGTGTTCCTCTTGTAACTTTTCTGAAAAAGATGATGTGTACAGGCCCAAAACATGCAGGTAACAGTATTTTAAGAGCAAAGAACGAGTGAGATTATACAATTTTACCAGATTTAGTTACTCTTACTTTTCATCTGTAGTCCCATTGATGAATAGAAAGTCAAATTCAATAGAAAGCTGCGGTGAAAGCTATTTGAGTAACTAGGCCAGTCAATATACAGTATGATGATATAATATACAGGCCGATGGAGGTGTACCCGGAATGAGAATTATTTAATGCTAGCATGTAGCCTTAGCTGATCACTCAAAAACGTCTTTACAGGATGGTCCAAAAGTTGGCTCTTGGCCCAAAGCTCCGTTCCACATGTGTGTCAATGCCATGGATCTATTATAATAACTGGATAGGGTATTACTAGCTTGTAGCTGAATAACTCATGTGCTCAGGGGATTCTCGCGGTACTGCAGACTGAACCAGACTAAATTCACGTGGGCTACCCAGAAATTTTCCCCATAGAACTCAATGCATATTAAAACAGCTCAACCTCAGCTGACAGAGAACCTACAGCTTTAATAAAGATCGGATTTTGTGGGGATTTTAGTGTCCCTTGTCATCCTGAACTTTTTTTCTTCTTAAATCCTTCGGTTTTGTTTAAATCCACACTTTAGTGCCACATACTCTGCTCGTCTGGCTCTCGCTCTAACTCCCGCTCTGATGAACTGCTCTGATTGGTCAGAGCGCAGCCGAGCCCCTCTGTGCACGTGCGTGAGACTCGGTGTGAGACCCACACACGCGTGTTTGGCGCAACGCATTATGGGAGATCATCCACTGCGCAGAACCGGGAGGACCAGACGATGCCCAAATACAGGCGAGTTTCCCAAAGATCTTTGCGAGTTTCAGGCGACTTCCGCTAATCTTTCAGCCCCCATGCCGTCACAAAGCGCCACTGAGCACGACCATTCATTTGAATAGGGCGCCATCTTGGATCGCCGGGGCTTGGTCAATGCTGAGGGGAGTGAATTTTTGCGGACCAGTCTAGTTTAGTCGCTGTGAATTTTTGAAGGCACTCGTTAAATGAATGGGCCTGGTGCCAGCTGACGCATGCGCAGATGCGTTTTTTCACATTTTCCAGCCCCCGAGGCCATTTTGAAACTGCCAATAGACCGCGGAAGTTGTGGCACATTAGTTAGAACTGCGGAGATAGGCGTGACTACGTCCTTTAATATTTACAGTCTATGGTTTTGACTCATTCTAATCTCCCCCTAGTGGTGAGAAGGTCACATGGGTCCAAACAACACATCAACCTTTCCCACCGTTGATCTGGCTTGATACACAATTTCAACCCTTAAAAAATCTACAGAGATGTTTATGCTTTTTGTAAGAATGTTTCACAGCACGGTAACAGAGCGCATCATGAAAATCACCTGGCCAATTTTCTGGTAAATATTTGTGGAGGGGTATCATCCCTCTTACTTTTGTCTTTATTTCTTTTGACTTCAATACACACTCTTTTTATTTGTAAAAATCTGAAATATATAACTTTGACAACTGTATAGAGAAACTACTGTCTCCGGTGTGTCTCCTACGTTATAAAGGTCAAGCCAGAAAACTGCTGTTTTTTAAATACTTGTGGCTCAGGAGAAAAACAAGTCCCAATGTGTGAAAAAAAAAAACCTCTAAAAGATGAAACTTTTACATTTGAGTTTTTTTTCTGTGCTCAAAATCACAAATAGGGTTGCGTTCAGACATTTCCAGTTTGATGTAAATCTCTGCATAATGTCTTGTAAATATAAAAACTCTGGACAAAAAAACAAAAAATATGTTGTTCTTTTTCTCCCTCAAGAATGTGCTATTTTGCATGACGAGCCATTACCAACTCAGGCTCTGCAATTCATTAAGCGTTAATAATATATATGTATGTATGTACGTGTGTGTGTGTATATCAATATTAAAGAATAAAATACCCCATTAATATTTTAGGTGTGGATTTCACTTTGAAATTGATATATTTATTCATCCATTTGTACTCAAGTAAACGTTTATTATGTTGCCAATTCAATATTCACAAGATGCAACCGTCAGATTAGCCCTTTCCCAAACAAAACAGCTATTCCAGGTGCTTTGATATCGCTGTTGGTAAATTACCCCTCATTGTGGTTTCTCATCTAGTTTTGCATGAGTAATATGTTGTTATTAATGGATTCTGGAACAGATGCAGTTGAAGTTGTAAACAATCTCTCCAATCTGTCGGGAGGTTTATGAATTTTATGAGGTTTTGACAAAAAAGAAAAACAGAATAAGTTGACATTACACATTTTCAGTTCACCGTTGGCTGCACCGCTCTGGCCTGGGCGGAATATGTAATTCCATGTTGGTCTGAGATGAAGGCCAAAAAAGCATGCAACATTTAACACAAACCAACGTTGAAGACTGGAGCTGCAGGCACATAGAACCACAGAGACAGCATAGAAGCACAGAGACAAGACAGACACTCTTGTTGTTCAACTTGTTTAAATCGCTGATTTGTATCCAAAATATGTCACAGAAAAAACTTGTATATACTTTTAGTTTTTCAAAAGTTAAGTTGTATTTTGACATTTCTGTGGTATATTGTATTTGGGGAAGTTCGGTGGGTGGGCATGAACACAAACGCTTGCGGTAAGAGAAGTGGGCTATATCCCTAATACATAAGCACTTTTATGTTTGAAGACAGGAGGGGCTTAAAGAGAAGCTTACAAGATGTATTGACGGGAAAATCAATGTTATTCAAAGCCCATATGAGACCTGGGTTGACGAAAAATCTTTGGTCCAACTCGCCAGTGTCTTGGCCACATCTGCAGCAGAGGCATTTATTCCTATTCAATAGAAAACCCTGGAACCTCTATTCACGACAATGTGAAGGCTTTCGAAAGTCTGGAGATCTATGATTATTTTAAGGAGAGTTTGTCCACTCTGGTGGGATGCAGAAAGCTATGATTGTGCTAAAAGCAGTGGTCAGACCTGGTCCCAGCCACAGCCTGACTCTCATCTCCTGTGGGGCATCGCCAAAACCAACAGCGACAACCATCACCCCGACTGCAAAGTCGGGTTGTCTTTTATCAGGCTTTTTCTAAAACCTTTTGTCAACAGAAACCTCCTCCTCCAAATGCGCAAAACAAACTATGTATATAGTGATACATGATGCAAATGCTACCAATGTGACAAAACAAACAATGGGCCTCATTCACCAATATCTTTTTAAGAATCTTCTTAAATGTCTTCTTAAGTTGTTCTAAGTTGTTCTGTGTGGGATTCATCAACGCGTTCTTAAGCTCCTGAATTATTGATAGCTGTTCTCTTATATTGATGAATGCCAGGTGAGTCATTAGCATAGGCACTTAGCATAGGTAACCGCCCATTCCTGCCCATAAAAGGGACTGCAGGGCCGTGTGCAGACACCACTCAGAGGAAACGGCAACATACCTTAAGCCTAGTGTATAGTCGCGCGGAGCTTACGGTGGTGACGTCATGTCACTTGTGCAACGCGTGGATCACTGCAAGGCCCCTAGGTAGCCTGCTGCACACCTTCGAACATTTTTAACTACGCAAGGGTCGCCGCAGAGAAGCTCCGCTGTGATTGGTCCGTGTGTGATTACTTTCTGTGAAGCACGGAGCGGCTGCAGGAGCATGGACGAGGCACTTTGGAGCAGACTGCTTCGCGCTTCGTAGGAACTGAAGGAAAAGCAGTTTGGGCTCATGGCAGAGCCTGATTTACGCGGAGACTGTGGACTAGAGTTCTGTTGCATATCTAACTTATATAAACTTATATAAACTGTGCAGTTGTTTCTCTTGCACTGTTCCCGTCTTTGTTTGAATCTGCACTCGTAGCTTATTCCTTCCTCCTGCACTTGAAAATAGTGCATGTTTGTCTCAGATATTTACCACTTATTGTTTTCCTGTTTGTGCTGAATAATACAATTTAATAATAACTATGTTTCCAACAAGAACTGTGTCTTTATTCACAGCATCACAGTTGAAATGACCTATGAAATAATGAGTCCATAGAACTGTCACATAAACCTACAGTAGAAACACATGTAATGATCTCAAACAGCTCGGTTCACTATTGCTTTTGTTCTGAAGAGGAGAAAGTAGCTGCGTAAATGGGACCGCTTTGGTTTCTCAGGCAACTCCTGTGAGATCGCCATCATGTGGTTGGGTGTGGGATTACAACATTCTCTTCAAAACTCTGCAAGGGGAACGCGCAAGTATACCACCAACTGTGGCTGCGTAGGTCCAACGTAACCGTAACCGTAACCAGTGCCGCGTGAGCGTACACAGGCCTTAAAGCAAAGAGTAAATCTGTTGGAGCGGAGGTAAAAAGAAAAACCAAACTTTAGCAGTTCTGGAAGTTCTACTGCAGGAGATCCCTAGGAGAAAGAATCTCTTCTTGTATTTCTTTGGCTGTTCTCAAATACTCAGCAACATACTTAGAATACACCCTTTTTTTGAGCATTACCGCTAAATATTGCTCAGCATCGAGGCTGATCAAACTCCTCCAAACTCCTTACTGCTCCTGTCTTTCCTCCTTCATGTATCTCCACAGAAAACACAAATCAACTGAGCTCCATCCACCAGGACCTGTGGGTGATAGCGGTAATCAGGTGAAGCAATGCCTACCACTTGTACGTTTACA